GGCCAAGTAGCGGTTGTTTCTACTGAAGAAGATCACCACCCGAGTGTACTCCCGGCGGAATGTGCTGCTGTTGTTGCTGCTGCTGGTGCTGCTGCTGGTGACCACCCTTTTTCGTCCCTTTCGTGTAGCCAACAGCAGCAGCAGCTGTTGCAGCTGCCCCAGCAGCACACTGACCGCCTTCAGCAGTGTGAGACCGAGCGTTCCGATGAGCACATGAGAGAGAGAAAGGGCGTACAGCGCCGCGTACAGCGTACAGAGGTTCAGCGCAACGGCGGCCAAAGTGATCATCAGCACTGCTGGTGGTAGCGGTAGCCAAAGCACTGCTCGAATTCCATAAAATTGCGACATGAAAACGAAAAAGTCTGCAAGTGAAAGAAATAAAAGGTTAAGTGTTAGGAAATACAGAGAGGAAATGAAGTTGCTGGCTACACACACACACACACACACCTATTGCCAGAATGAAGACCTGAATGGCGTTCAGTATGACGTAGCAGTACTGCTTGAGATACTGGGAAACTGTCCGTCTTTCTTCTCCTCTTCCAGGCATGTACCTTGAGATCAGAAAANGAGATCAGAAAAGTGGTGGTCTGCCGGCGGTCGTCCATCACCTCGGCAAAGAAGTCCATCGCCGTGTGCATCGTCTCGAAGTAGACCAGGTGGAGGTAGTAGCCGGAGATGGCCAGCGTGCCCACCAGCACCAGATTTGTGGCCGGCGGCAGGTTGGTCAGGCGGATGATGTCATTGCTGAGCAGCTTTAGCACGAAAGAGGGAGGCTCGTAGACTGGGAGAAGCAGGTGCTGGACTGATTTGACGGTGAACAAGAGAAAGAGTGGCCAAAATCGGCGCCACTTTTGTTCTCTGGTCAGAGAGAAATACATTCGCAAGTACTGCTGCATAAAGTCCAGCGACTTGTAGGGAAAGGGCTGCTGAAGAATGAGGTCCATTGCTGGGCTGATTGCTTGGCTTTAAGTTGCAAGACTCGAAGATCAGTTAACCGAAGTCGAGTCATTTACAGAAAATGAGAACAATAGTTGGTGTGTGCTTCAAGGTATTTTCGGACAGATAGACACAGTTTAATTGTCTTTTCTTTCTCAATACTATTTTGCTATTCAGCTCTCTCTCTCTCTCTCTCTCTCTCTCTCTCTCTCT